TAAAGTAAGAGATTAGGTGTCTAGCCAACAGAATGAACTAAGATCAAAAAAAGAAAACCAAAAGCTTGAACCTTACAGCTTAACATTTTTGATAAATGAGCCTGGATTTCCCCCCGCTACTGAGACACTGGTTGAGAGTCCATATTTAAAAACACTATAAACTGAATATACTAGAAGTAATTTAGAGTTTCAGTGGCCACTTTGGGAAAATGAGCTTCCATTTGTGTTGTCCTGTCTTTTCCTTTTTGGGAAACTTTTCCTTGGTGCTCAGATTTTGTCAAAAGGTCTAATATTCCTCCATCTGAGACTATGACGAGTTAATAAGTTTTATCTAGAATCTTTTGTTTTTTTCTTTCGGTGAATTGAGTCAAGAGAGAGAGGGCAGAGCAGGATCAGGCCTCCCCAGCCCACAGTGTCGCTAGCCAAGAATTGATAAATTAATTTACAAAATTGCTAAAGAGCTTTGGTATTTACTGGATAGATAGCCCTTTAAAATGCTGAGGTCAACTTAAACATATGTAAATGAATTGGGATGACCCACTGTTGTCTTCCATGAGTCAAGACAGTAAGGGAGGGACAGGATCAGGCCTCCCCAGCCCCCAGTCTCTGAAGTCATACAGCTCCAGGGAAGCTTTTAAAAAGGCCGCTTCCAACTAAATGGAGACTTTTTAAGACCAAAAAAAAAAAAAGGAAAGAAAAAATTGCTGTTTTACTATAGCTTCCAAAAATTAGATAGACTCGATCATAAAAGAACTGTAAACAAGTTCTCTCTATCGTAAGAGAACTCATAAGAAGCAAAAAATAAAAATCATAATGAGACTAACCTAAAATGGCCTAGAAAAAATGTTTCCACCCCTAGTCAGACACTTAAGGTTATATCCATCTCAATGAATAGGGTCAGTTGAACAGAAACTTTGTGATTTTCAAAGCTGGTTGATAAAATCTTTAAGAGCTAAAATTAGATTGAGAAAAATAGTAAAATTTAAATAAAAACTTGGAACATTTGAACAAACTTCATTTCAACAATTATGTTTTATGGTATACTAGCTTAAAATCATTTCCAAGACCTTTTAGGTAACTTAAAGATATTAAACTGAGTAAACAGATATTCATCATAATTTATATACTTTTGCTTTCTATAGCACTATATATACATGTATTTGGTTTGCTAATGAGTGTGTTCATTTTTGCTATTTTAAAAGGACATACTATAAGAGATACAGAACAAAAACATCATTTAAGAGGTATATTAAAAAGAAATTTATTTAATATGGTCAAAAGTTTTATCTGTCTGACTAAAGTTAAATGGTTTAATTTATGAGATTTTCTGGAGCTTTAATGTTAAATCTCTTTGGGTCAAAATTTATGTTAGTTTTTTCTCTTATGTTTTTGCCTGATATTAGACAGCAAACGCATAATATTATGCCATAATTTTATTATTATTTATTGATAACTTGACTGCAACTTTTTTTTTCTTTTTTACTCTAGCATCAAAGCCAAAGGTTTGACTAGGGCACTCACGTCATTTACCTATGAAGTTTTTTTATTACTATTCAGGTATTTAGAGACTTGATAATCTTGGCATATTCTGATTATATGGTATTATGTCTCAAAATTATTATACGGTGCATTATATCTGAAGCTCTTTAAAAATAAGGTTAATCAATATATTTAAAAATATTTTTGCCTAACATTTTTTTAAACTGACTTTATTTGGCTGTGAATTTTTATAATTAAGACAATTATGTTTGTAAATTAATCACGGCCATATTAAGATTTGTTGTCTGCAGACAAGTTTTTACTTTGTTGATTTGCTGAAAATGTTTGACCAAAATATCTCAACAAAAAGATGGACTATATTAGACTTACAAAAAGAACTGTGACTAGACCGAATCAAGATTTCCAAAACTCTTATGTAGAAGCTGATGGGTTCACAGACTGCGGCTGATCCAGAACAGAAATGAACTACATAAGACTGAGTAAAGGAGTACTATGAGTTTTACAGGAGAACGTTGCTGTTTTAAGGTCTTACTTTCTGGATATAAGAAACCATTTTCCTTTCTCCTAAATTTTTGAACCAATGGGTTTAGATATTGTAACTCTTGAATTAGGAGTTCTTATTGGTAAATGTAACAAAGTTGTAAATACTTCAGAGAAGTACCTGAAATTCATTTGAGTTATGATTTTACAAAATAGAATAGCATTAAATTTCCTATTAGTTCTCTCAAAAAACAGTTTTGTGACACTTCTGCTTCTGAGAAAGTGACCCATAACTGTAAACCAAGGAGGGGCAGCTTGCCCTCCAGAAGAACACTTAGTATGTTTTAAACAGATGAACTGAAGACCTCCAACAAGAGAGGTCCATCCTTTATTATCTTGCTAATCATGTATTCTCTAATGAAAATCTGGTTGTCACGTGTAAATTTTTCTATACCTTCTGTTTCCTCAAACAAACTTTGTGTGCTCCTTATGGGTATGTTTTGTGTGGTGGATCCAACTATACTAGTTTAAATGATCCCTTTCCAACTGATAGTGAGTTTACATGGGGAATCTCTTGTTTAGATTCCTAATGAATGCATGGGTAATGCACTTTGAGAATTTTAAGATTACCTTTAAATATTCATAGTAATGATGCTAGTAAATATTGAAAAGGTAATGTCAAATTGTTACACATTATAAAATGAGAGTCAAAAAGTAACCCATGAGTCCAATACTCAGGTGGGGTTGGTAGCTTTAATTCCTATTTGGTATAGTTAAATTGAAAAAAATCTTTAAGAAATTTATCAATCATTTTGGGACAAATAACAGACAAAGTTGCAAATGAGATAAAAACACAACAGCAATCTCTGACCTCATTAGCCAAGGTGACATGAAATAACAAAATAGCCTTAAATTTTTTAGCCCAAGAAAGGGTAATCTGTACTGTAGCAATACCTCTTGTTGTATTCAGAAAAATAACACAAGAGAAATAAAACAAGATATACATAAAATGAGACAACAAGCTACTTGGGTACACACTATAACACCATTACAAACACCAGATTTATCTGGTTTGTTACCATAAAGAATAAATACATGAGCTAAACCACTACTGCAAGAAATAATAATATTCTTAGTTTGCATCCTGATAGTATGAGGCATAATAAAACTTATTTTCTATTGTCTTACACACTTGTACATTGAGTCTGCTCACTTCAGCAATGCGATAGATGGTAACACTGCTCTTAAGACCCTGGTGAAGAACCAGATGGTATCTAGTAGAAAACAGCACCATGAGTTTAAAGAGCCTGCCATGGCCACCATCTAGGGGCTCGACTAAGTCCAGGTATTAGTCATCAATATGTTATCTCCAATCTCTGATCAAAAGAAAAGAATGATTTAGGAGATAATATTGGAGCCATTATCCCCTGTCCTTGAGCATAAAGAATGTGACCAACCTGGAGCTGGACTCACAAGGACTCATAAAGACACATCAACTGGGCCCTGAAGTATGAAGACAATAGCTAGATGATCTTAAAAAAAAAAAATCTTTTAGGGAAACAGTCACATAAACAGGGCATAAAAGCCAGTCTTATCTTTTTCTCTTAATATTCAATAAATGGTTGCAAACCAACAGGAGGTCAGTGGCCACAGTGAAAGACCTAGGTCCAATATTTGTCTCTTCTTGAGAATATACCAAACAATTCCGATCTGGGCTATAGCTTAAAATGGACACTGGTCCTGTATGACCAATGTCCAAAAAGAAATGGAAGGAATGAGACAGAGCCCCCATAGTGTTGCATCAAAAATCCTGTTTTCTTTGCTTGGCTTCCTCCCGGACAGCGTTGCCTTAAAAATCCTGTTTCCTTTGCTGGGCTTCCTCCTCCCCAGCTTTGTATTTAAATCCTGCTTTTGCTTGGAAGTTATATGTAAACCCCATTGCACCTGCACAGTATGATTAAGAACATTGCTAGCATAACTTGTATGAACTCCCTACTTGTAAACTCCTTAAAAGTAACTTTTCTCCTGGCCCTTGGGGAGTTTTGGCAGCAGCAACCCCAACTGATTCCTTCTCCTTGTGCAAGAAATAAAGGTGCCTTTCCTTTCTCCCACTTGGTCTCTCGTTTATTGGTCAATATGAGTCATGCCAAGCAAGAATCTGGGGTTTCCACCTGGTAACAAAGACACTGGAAACCAGGAGTCTGGGCCAGTTCATTTGCAAAGGGGGCAAGGACTGGTCCTGCCTACTTCTTGAGCACCTTATCTTGTGGATCCCCTAAATGAATCCACCTCTAGGCCTAGCAACTGCTGTTCTCTGAAATGCACCACCTCTTCTTCCAAGGGTTAACTCACTTCTTCAGAACTTACTTAAAATGGCTTTGTGAAACCTCCCAACCCACAACAGAGAAACGACTCTCCTCCCTTCGATCCACCATGCTACCTAGCACTTGGCTTTCATACCTCCCTGCAATTACTTGTTTATCTTCTATCTAGTGTTCTAGGCTGTGAGAGCCTCTTTAAACATGGAGGCTGTCTCTTTTTTCTCCAGAGCACAGCAGGCACTTGTTTGTTGAAGGATCGAACTGTAAAGTTTTTTCCAGCTCTGTTGTTGTTGTTAGGTGCCCAGTCAATTAATTTCAGTTATAGCGACCCCCTGTGACAGAGGAGAACTGTCCCTTGGGGTTTCCTAGGCTGTAATCTTTAAGGGAGCAGATCGCCAAGTCTTCTCTCGTGGAGCCAGTGGGTGGGTTCCAACTGCCAATCTCTTGGTTAGCAGCGAAACTAGCATAGAGGAATTTGTCGCCAGAGTGATACCCATACGTACCTACATTTTAGATGAGAATCTATGCACTAGACCTAGAATATACATACTAGACGCTCTATTAAAGTAGTAATTATTACTAGGGTAAATTTACAGGCGCACTCGAGCAGGACTTAGCAAGAGAGATTTACTCAGCGCTCCCCGCGTACTAAGCACAGTGCTTCCCCTTCATTAGAAGCCGTGGTTTTGTCTCCAATACCTTTTCCAAAACTCTATCAAAGCGGCGCACATTGACCATGGACTTCAGCATCTGCCCGACATTCTGTGTCACGCCGCTCATCGTGGACGGTTCGCTAGCTCCCGGGTCCTGGGCAATAATGAACCTCAGAAGCGGAAGGAAGCCCACAGATTCGCCGAAAGAACAAGGACACACATGGCAAAGAACTCACGTACAGCTCTCCCCGCCCCCTGCGCTCACGAGGTGCCCGGCGACTCGCGTATTGACGTCTCGCGCCCATAGTGACCCTGCGCGCACGCGCCGTTTCGTCCCCTCCAGCTTCGCCGGGTCTCAGGGCTCGCCAGCTGCGCAGCCGCGTTTCTCGCCTTCCGACAGGGGAGCGCGTTTCCCCACCGGACCGTTGATTCGGCAGGTCCTTGGCGCCGAGCGCCTGCGCAAAGCCGGTCGTCGGCCGCCAGCCCGCCTAAGGGGTGGCAAGCTGGCGGTGAACTGATGGAGCAACGGAGCGGTCGGGGGGCCCGGCCTGAGGCGGCTGGGGAAGAGGAAGAGCCCGAGGTGAAGAAGCGGCGACTCCTCTGTGCGGAGTTTGCCTCGGTCGCGAGCTGCGACTCGTCCGTGGCCCAGTGCTACCTGACAGAGAACGACTGGGAGATGGAAGTACGGTCTCCTTATCTCTTACTTCCCGCTCTTTATCGTGTCCCATGGAGCGCACAAGCCCGATACCTGTACCTTTGCTTTTCAGAGAGCGTTGAACTCCTACTTTGAGCCGCCCGTAGATGAGAGCGCCGTGGAAAGCCGCCCTCAGACCGTTTCTGAGCTGGAAACCTGGTAAGTGATGCAGGGAGCGCGGAGGTAGTTAATATCAGGTTGCGTTGGGCGTCCTGGGACCTGGCGTGGACTAGGCTGGCGATGCTAAGAGGCAGTTCTCGCGGTCGAATTACTGGAGGCCAAGGATTTGTGTAGGTGCCGCTGGTGGAGATACTCCACTGCAGGGGGGCTAACGCTTTTCTCCCTAGTGTCCCAGTGTCACTTGGAATGTGATTTGGAGTCTGTTGCTCAATTAGGGTCCGTGCCCTGGAGCAGTAGAGCCAGTGAAACGTACTCCATATCAGAAAGAGTGAGAATTTTTTTTTTAGGAGGTGTCCACCACGGGGGATTCGACAGCAACGCAGGCTGTTTCTATGGAGTCCCAAAAGGCATTTTTACATTAGAGCTTGTATATGGTTTTTACAAAGGTTAGAAGTGTGGTTATTCATTAGAAGGTAATTACAAGAGATTATCATACTAAGAGACACATGCCAGACATTTCCTTATCAGATTAAAGATACACATAGCAGACAACTGGGCTCTAATCTTCCTGTGGGGGATCGTAAGTCACCAGTGGCGAGACAGAGCAAAACACAGCCATTAACAAAGGTATACAGAAAGGAGAAGGCAAAGAAAAAAGAAAAAAAACTGAGAGGTTCATCATGGCGTTTGTTATGTCAAGCTCTCAGTCTTCCATTTTGAAAAGGAGAAAACATGATGCGGAGTATTAGGGTCACAAATCCGAGGAGGAAAAATCTGAAATACAATTTTTGTCTCGAGTTATAGGAAATATATAAACAACTTTGAAATGAATGAGGCAAACTCTTGTATTGAAGAATGGTAGCTAGGAAAGCTCCTTGCCTTCTATGTAGTTCTTTTATTTACTCTCAGCTGACTGGCCAGAGTGGTTTTTAAAAAATGCACACCCTCTCCTGTTATTCGAATATCCCCTTCCCAATTCCTGCACTACTGCTCTTAGAATAAAGTCCAGATGCCTTAACAAGCCTGTCCATGGTTTGGCCGCTGCCTATCTTTCCAGATTCGTCTCCCACCTTTGCTTTCCTACCCCACAGCAAACTTGTGGGTTCTCCAATGGGCCGTTTTCTCTTGCCTTTCAACCTTTGTAAAGGTATTACCTCTACCTGGAACCTTTTCTTCCTCCTGCCTTGCTAAATGGAGCCCTAGTGGCACAGTGGTTAAGAGCTTGGCTGCTAACTGAAAAGGTCAGCAGTTCAAATCCACCAGCCACTCCTTGGAAACCCTATTGGGCAGTTCTGCTCCATTCTATAGGGTCACTATGAGTTGGAATTGACTCGATGGCAGTGGGTTTGTTTTTTTTGTTTACCTTGCTAAATATTTATCTTAAAGGCCCCAGTTTAGATGTGACTTATCTCCAGGAAGCTTTCCCTGATCTCCCTAAGTCTGGTTTCCCTCTAGGTACTCAAAGCAACCTGCATGACCCCTGTCATAATAACTTAATTCATATTATAATTGTTTAATATTTTTTGTCTCCTAGACTACACATTTGTTAAAGGTAAAGACTATTTGTTTTATACATGATTGATTTCTCAAAGTCTAACACAGTATTTGGCACATTAACATGTTCTCAGAAATATATATTGAATGTATAAAGTTCTTTCAACTCTGTGGGCAGCCTGTACACTTGACTGTTCAGAGTGGAGACTATTTCCTCCCTTTGACCTTTTCAGCTGCACTGGCTTACAGGTGTAGTAATGTCATTTCTCCTTTCACTACATGCCCAGCCTTCTTTTCTTGGGGAATTGTCTACTCCACCCATAGTGATATATGTCTGACTGGCATATTGTAATAGCCAGAGCCAACTGGTCTAGGAGGTGTTCACTTAGTCCAAGCTGGCCAGTCACATCCTCCCTCCTTGGATTTTGAAATTAGGACCAAGAGGGTCAAGTATGAATCTTCTGGAGCTGGATTCATAACATGTTAATTTAGGAGCTGTGGGGATTCATACTTATCCTTGTTGTGCATGAGAAACTGAGAATGCTGGTCCACAGAGAGAATCAAGCTGAAGAAGGTTGAGGTGTAGGACTGAGATAAAGCCCTGATTTTCTTTCCCTAAGCATGGCTGCATTCCTCCACCGGGCTTTGTGACATGTTGCTGTTTCTTTATAAATTCTTGTTTTGCTCAAACCAGCCTGAACTAGTGTCTGTTACTTGCAGCCAAGAAGCCCTGGTGGTGCAATGGTTAAGCACTCGGCTGCTAACCAAAAGGTCAGCATTTTGAATTTTACTCACCAGTGGCTCCAAGGGAGAAAAGACCTGGCGATCTGCTCCTATAAAGATTACAGCCTAGAAAACCCTATGGGGCAGTTCTACTCTGTAGAGTTGACTCAATGGCATGCAACAACAACAGTTGCAGCCTTGAGTCACTGGGTGGTGCAAACAAACGCTTAATGCACTTGGCTGCTAACTGCAAGGTTGGAGGTTTGAGTCCACCCAGAGGCACCTGGAAAGAAAGACCAGGTGATCTACTTCCAGAAGATCACAGCCATTGAAAACCCCATGGAGTACAGTTCCAGTCTGAAACACCTGGAGTTGCCATGAGTTGGAGTCCACTGGAGAGCAACTGGTTTTATTTGCAGCCTTAATTGTAACAGATAAAGAAATTGGGACAAAAAAAGTAGATTCCGTGAAATAGGCCCTCAGGAAAAATGTATATGTAGCTGAGTAATGGTAGGATGGGGGATAATCAGGAGTCTCCTACCCAAGAAAGGTAAATTGGCAACCTTTGTTTTATGTTAGCAAAATGGTCAATTAGGCTGTGGTCTCTTGTCTCTTGGAACTCAGAGCAAATGTCCACTGAGACTGAGGCTATATAAAGTTTTGTCCGTTGTAAGAGGTAAAAGGGGAAGGATAAAGCTTCAGGATGTTTTCAAGACCTGCATATTCATGGAGCATGTCCTGATTAGATTTTTGATGTTGACTTTAGCAAAAATGGTGTTCCCAAAAGGAAATCGATAGGAACACTTTATGACCAGAAAAACTCAAGCCTCGCTTGATTGTCTTAACTCGCAGGATGGGAATCTCAGTTCTTTAGTGCATCCCCAGATGTCTTAGTTATCTAGTGCTGCTATAACAGAAATAATGCAAGTGGATGGCTTTAACAAAGAGACATTTATTTTCTCACTGTCTAGGAGGCTAGAAGTCGGAATTCAGGATGCCAGCACCAGCGGAAGCCTTTCTCTCTCTGTTGGCTCTGGAAGGTCCTTGTCATCAATCTTCCCGTGGTCTAGGAGCTTCTCAGCGCAGGGACCCTGGGTCCAAAGGATGTGCTCCCCTCCTGGTTCTTCATTCTTGGTGGCATGAGGTCCCCTTGTCTCTCTGCTTGCTTCTCTCTCTTACATCTCAAAAGAGATTGACTCAAGATCCAACCTTATCTTGTAGATTGAGTCCTGCCTCATTAACATCATACAGGCAGGATTTACAACACATAGGAAAATCACATCAGATGACAAAATGGTGGACAATCACACAGTACTGGGAATCATGGCCTAGCCAAGTTGACACACATTTTTGGGAGACACAGTTCAATCCATGACAGCAGGATATTAACAAAAACTGAAATTGAACAATAAAGTGATTTAGCCTTCAACATTGGAATCTATCTTCAGTGTCTCTCAGGAGAGACAAGATGTGGTGCAGTGAATTACTTAACATGGGCCTTCTAGCCATAGTCTTTGTAACTCTCACCAAATGACTGGGTGAGGACCATGCAAATGAAGTGCTTGTGGCCCACCAAGGGGATTGGATAGCTTGGTAACAATGTAAATAAGGTGCCTGGCATACTTGTGGGGGTGGGACCATGCAAATAAGTTGTATGGAACCTTAACAAGGGCACTGGTCAGTTTTGCCATTCCGCTAGGTTTAAAATGAGCCATCCCAGAGGCAGGGAGGATCTCACTACTATCAAGAAAGAAGAGCCAGGAATGGAGTGCATCATTTGGACCCTGGATCCCTATGCTGAGAAGCTCCTGGAACCAGGAGACGGAGAGACAGAGAGCTGTAACATCGAAGGTGGTAGCAGAGGCAGGAAACAGCGTGGTGGGCTTCCTGGCCCACGAGGGAGAAAACTGAGTGAGCGCCTTCAGGCAGGAGGCTTACTGGCAAAGTAGAGTGCCTCTGGGCATTTGGCGGAGCTTAGTTTGCTGACCTATGGAGCTATAGCAGAGTGCTTGCTGGCGGAGTGGGGTGCCTCTGGGTACTTATTGGCAGAGCTAAAAGAGCTGTATAACACTTGCCTGAGCAGGGCAGAGGCCGGGCCGAGGGGCCTAAGGCCAGAGAGAGACCTGCTGTGGGCATGGCTGAGAAGGGGCTGTCCTGATCGAAGAACCTGAACTGTAACCTATTACTTCCCTAATAAACCTCATAACTGTGAGTATGGTCTGTGAATCTGTGTGGCCATTGCAATGAATTATTGAATCCAACAGAGAAGTAGAGAGTGCCATGGGAGGGACGGTTGGTGTCAGAATTGATAAAAAGGGGAGAGGGAGGAGGCGTGTCTGACTTAGGCCTCATAAGAGCAGCCTTGGGCTATTGATTTTTATTCTCCTTCCCTCTTGTGAAGTTGGAGGAGATCAGATGCCTCCCTGCCACTCCGTTTTTACATAAGATAAATCCTTTTAAAATAGTGGTTATGAACCTTAGCTGCATATTAGAATTACCTGGGGAGTTAAAACAACAACAACGCTTCTCCTGGGGCCCCACTTCCTGGAGATTATGATTTAATTACTCTCCAGGTGAATTCACTGGTTGAGAGCCCTGTTCTAGGGCCTTGTTTCCCTCAGAGTGTGGACCCTGGACCAGTAGCATAGCACCACCCTAGATTCGTTAGACATGCAGAACCTCAGGCCCCATGTCAGACCCGTTGAATCAGAGTCGGCATTTTAACAAGATCTCGAGGTGATTTAAAGTTTGAGGAGTACTGGCCTGGAATGTAGAACCTCAACCACCAGGTATACTAAGGCATTTATTCCACTGCTAAAGAAGGAAGCTGACAAATGATGCCCCTAAGATTCGTTAGTTTCTTTCAGTACCCTTACAATTTCTATGCAGCACCAGTCTTGGAGTTTCTCTTCCTCTTTCGAAATGGAAGTTTTTGTTACAATTGTCCAGTTTTTCTTTCTACATTAAATGTTTTGAGTGTTGCATAAATTGCAAAGACATGAAATTGGATTATAGTGAAATTAGAGGAGGAAAGGACAGCATAGTAGATAAGAGCATGGACTCTGGAGCCAGAATGCAAAGGTTCTGAGTCCAACTCTGCCATGTAGTGACCTCTCTGCATCAATTTCTTTGTACAGTGGGAATACTAATAGAACCTTCCTCATCGGGTTGTTGTAAAGATTAAATTTGCTAATACATGTAAAACACTTGGAACAATGCCTGGCACACAGTAAGAGCTCAATAAGTGTTAGCTATTATTAACACTATCCTGTTCTGCCCATAATGTCATTCCATGACAGTCCCACCCATGGATGAAACTTTGAGTTTTCCATTCAGGAGAGTAGGGAGTGTTTATAATTCTGTATGAGGTAGATTGGTTTATAGGTGAGGCATCTTTAAACTTTGGAAAAAAGGTGCAATTTTGTGAAAGAAAAGAGTTGACAAGAAAAAGGAACCAGTATTCCCCTCCCTTCTTGCTCTTAGGGTTGCTATGAGTTGGAATCGACTTGACGGCAGTGGGTTTGGTTTTTTTTTCCTGCTCTTAACGCTTTCGGTAGAGGAAGGAGCTTACATCTTGACCAGGCACTGGAATCACCTGGCTTTTTCTCTTCAGGAATAAGTCTTTCAGAAAAAAAAAAAAAAGTATAATATTAACTGGTTATAGAGTGAGAAAGAACTTTTGGGAAAAATGGGATTCAAAAAGGAAAGTTTTGCACTTTAAATGTGAGTTTTTGGTTTCTCTTAAAGATTATTTTTACATATAAGGGAGATGTTCAAAAAATTAATTTTTTGCTTCAAAATTGACATTGAATTCACCTGGCACCTAAATCTTGGCTTCTAAATACCATTCTCCACTAAAAGGAACCAGGGCTCTATAGAAATGATTTATTCCAGGGCAGGGGCGGGTAAAATACAAGATGAGCCTGTAACATCTGGAACAGCTTGTAGTGCTACAAAGTAAAGAAGTGCTCAGAAAATGATGGAGACATGCCAGAAGGACACAGGAACCAGCTTGAACCCTCCCACCCCTGGTCAAATCTGAGACAATTTGAGCAACTGAATTATTGGTAGGAACAGATTGTAACCCATAGAATAAAATAAGAATCCATACTGATATAGTTGTCCCGGGGAGAAGGGAATGCTTTTTCTTTCAGTAGAATTTCAATTACTAAATGTATGTGGAAGACATGGTAGAATTAGAAAAACTACTATAGTAATAATCACCAATGGATATTAAAACTAATAGGTGAAAATCTGATAAGAAAATATTTATATAGTCTCAAAATACCTGCCCACAAAATACTGTTGTTAGGTGCCGTCAGGTCAGTTCTGACTCATAGGAACCGTGTGTACAACAGAACGAAATACTGCCCAGTCCTGCAACATCCTCACAATCGTTGCTATATTTGAGCTCATTGTTACACCCACTGTATCAGTCCATTTTGTTGAGGGTCTTCTTTCTTTCGCTCACCCTCAATTTTACCAAGCATGATGTCCTTCTTCAGGGACTGGTCTCTCCTGATAACATGTCCAAAGTACATGAGACGAAGTCTTGCCATCCTCCCTTCCAGGGAGCATTCTGGGTTTACCTTCTGGTGGTCTATGGTATATTCAGTATTCTTCACCAACACCATGATTCAAAGGCATCAGGTCATCTTTGGTCTTCCTTATTCACTGTCCAGCTTTCACGTGCATGTGAGGTGATTGAAAACATCATGGCTTGGGTCAGGTGCACCTTCGTCTTCAAAGTAACATCTTTGCTTTTCAACACTTTAAAGAGGTCTTTTGCAGCAGGTCACTAAGGTCCAAATTCAAGGGGAGGGGAATTAGATTTCACCTCTGAGCGGAGGAGTAGCAAAGAATTTGCAGTGATTATTTACCTGCCACCGTAGGATCTTACTTAAGATAATATTTTAATGAATGCAATTAAATTTGGATATCGTACATTTCTGGAGCCCTGGTGGTGCAGTGGTTAAAAGAGCTCGGCTGCTAACCAAAAGGTTGGCAGTTCGAATCCACCAGCCGCTTCTTAGAAACCCTTCCGGAGCAGTTCTGCTCTGTACTATAGGGTCACTGTGAGTTGGAATTGACTTGATGGCAGTGGATTTTGGTTTGGTATCTGTCATGGATTGAATTGTGTCCCCCAAAAATATGTCAACTTGGTTAGGCCATGATTCCTGGTATTGTGTGGTTGTCCTCCATTTTGTGATTGATGTAAGTTTTCTGTGTTCCTAATCTCTGCCTGTGGTTGATGAGGCAAGATTAGATTTCGTTAAAGAGGATTAGGGTGGAATGTAACACCCTTACTCAGATCACATCCCTGATCCAATGTAAAGGGAGTTTCCCTGGGGTGTGGCCTGCATCACCTTTTATCTTATAAATGATAAAAAGGAAAGAGAAGTGAGCAGTGTGTTGGAGACCTCATACCACCAAGAAGGCAGCACCGGGAGCAGAGTGCGTCCTTTGGACCTGAGGTCCCTGTGCAGAGAGCTCCTAGACCACAGGAAGATTGATGACAAGGACTTTCCTCCAGAGTCAACAGAGAGAGAAAGCCTTGCCTTGGAGCTGGCGTCCTGAATTTGGACTTCTAGCCTACTGGACTGTGAGAAAATAAATTTCTCTTTGTTATAGCTATCAACTTGTGGTATTTCTGATATAGCAGCATTAGATAACTAAGACAGTATCTTACATTTCTTAGTCTAATTTGGGGGTAATAGTTTAAAAATCATTTTAGTAACACATGTCATTGAAGGGTGTTGAGTTGACCGTAAGTGTATTTGTGAGCAAATGATCTAAAAAACACCATAAGAATTATAAGAATCTTTTTCCTCAGTCATGTGACTTTCACTTTCCTAGAGGCAGGCGTAGTGGTTAAGAGCTCGGCTGCTAACCAAAAGGTTAGCAGTTCAGATACACCAGGCGCTCCTTGGAAACTATGGGGCAGTTCTACTCTGTCCTGTAGCGCCATTATGAGTCGGAATTGCCTCAACGGCAACAGGTTTTTTTGGTTTTTAGAGGCAGGTACTTCTAGGGCTCTTTGTAAACTTATTTGTTGGTAAAATGAGGGCTACAAATACTTACAAAGTAGTTCTTAAATTATTTAATTTATAGATTATTTATGAAGTTGTGTTTCATTCTGATCTTTCCAGTGTTGACCTAACTAATGAAGAAACAACTGATTCCACTAGCTCTCAAATCAGCCCACCTGAAAATATTCAGCAAGAAGATGACAGTATGTTCTCATTCATTACCTGGAATATTGATGGATTGGATCTAAACAATCTGCCAGAGAGGGCTCGAGGGGTGTGTTCCTATTTAGCTTTGTAAGTATTATTCAGTTTAATAGTGGCATGATTATGTCTTACCTATCTACAGTGTAACAGTTTAAGATTGTGGTCTCTGGGATCAGACCTGGGTTCAAAGTTCATCTCTGAGAAGCAACATCTGAAAGAATTGAAAGTGATTGCCTCTAGGAGCAGGATTTAGGACTAGGGGCAGGGTGGAGAGGGTACACTAATTTTTTTTTTTAATTGTACTTCAGGTGAAGGCTTACAGAACAAATAGTTTCTCATGAAACAGTAGTACACATTGTTTTATGACATTGTTTAACAACCCCACATGTCAACCCTCTCCCTTCTCGACCTTTTTTTTTTTT